AAAGCTCCCCTCCCAAAAATTACATATTTATTGTCAATATTAATATGTGTATGTTCAATTAAAGTGCAATTGAATTCCAATTAAACAGCAGTAAACAAAATATCAACCCTCTGCTGCCTTCACCCCAACACCCCCAAAGCCTGCTCAGCTAAAAATATCTTCCAGCAGCTCTGGGCAATCTTAAATCTCAGAGAAAGAAACCAGAGAGAAAGTTTCTTTTTATTTATTTTTTTTGCGTTAAAAAGTGGTACATAATGAGGATATAAATTCCCATATGTCTTGTTCTCACAAACAAGAACAAGAAATCATGTTTTTCCCTTCCACAACTTAAAAGAGAACAAAAAAAAATATATTTTGGTCAATATCAAAAACTGTTCTAACATTTGCGTTAATGATTTTTCTACATTTTACACAAATTGAGCAATTGCTCCAGATTATGATAACTGATACCTTGATGCATGGACTTTTATCAATTAGAACAGTGTTTTCCAATCTGGGGATTGTGACCCCTAAGGGGATTGCAAAGTGTTTTCTGGGAGTGTGGTAGATCGCCTTATATGTGTTGTTGATACATGGTGTCAAGTTGGAACCGACTTCTAGTGATCCTAATAGGTTTTCCAAGGTACTTGATATATTTAAGGAGTGGTTTTACCTGTTCCACTCTCCTAGTCAGTTTCCAGGGCTACGTGGTTTTACCTGTTCCACTCTCCTAGTCAATTTCCAGGGCTAAGTGGAGACTCGAACTCTGTTCTCCAAAGTCCTAATTAGAGATGGGGATGAATATAAAAAGGGATTGGTTTTTCCGATGAATTTAGCCAATTCGGCATATATTCGTCGATCTGTATTTGTCATATTTTAAGTTCTGATGAATATGGCTTGACGAATATTTCCCCATTTTTATTCGTCCCTCATACGAAGAAGAAAAAAGCCGTTCTATGGCTTTTTCATTCTGCCAACGGCCTACCAATCAGCTGATTGATGGGCCGATAGGCAGTCACCCACCACCATAGCCACCCCCCTGCAGCCTATCCCATCCCTTCCTCTCCCTACCTTAGCCCTTTCCACCACCACCCCTGCCTACAAACTCATGCCATAATCATCACTGCTGCTGCTGAGGTCTCCATCAGGCCTCTGCAACTGTAGAAAGGGAAACTGGCTGCCCTTTGCAAAGATGGTGGCTGCGGCTTCATTTAGGGTAGGGAAGCTGCAGCTGCAGCTGCCATCTTTGCAAAGGGCAGCCTGGATTCCCTTAGCCAGGCACTCCTGTCTTCCTCTGCCTCCCAGTGTTTGATCAAATTCATGTTGGTCGCTTCGATGACCCTGTCCAGCCACCTCGTCCTCTGTCGTCCCCTTCTCCTCTTGCCCTCATGCTTTCCCAACATCAGGGTCTTTTCCAGGGAGTCTTCTCTTCTCATGAGATGGCCAAAGTACTGGAGCCTCAGCTTCAGGATCTGTCCTTCCAGTGAACACTCAGGGTTGATTTCCTTCAGAATGGATAGGTTTGTTCTCCTTGCAGTCCAGGGGACTCTCAAGAGCCTCCTCCAGCACCACAATTCAAAAGCATCAATTCTTCGGCAGTCAGCCTTCTTTATGGTCCAGTTCTCACTTCCATACATCGTTACTGGGAAAACCATAGCTTTGACTATGCGGACTGACAAGGGATAACCTCCTTGAAAATGCGTTTTTATGCAAATATGGTGGTCACAAGCTATTTGGCTATTATAAAAAGGGGCCATGACTCAAAAAAGGGTTATGAAAAACAGAATGAGAAACACTAAATGTCACATGCCTGAAGAAGTGGGTGTTGATTTGATTCCTGCCCATGAACCCATGAACTACAAAGTGGTTCGCTGGTTTGTGAGGTGTTTTTTTTGACAGCCTGATGCTGCCTAAAAGGAAAACAAAGCTGAGCTCCCTGCCCCACAGCCTGCCCACCTGTCCCCTTCCCACTGCCCCCATCACATCCCTTCCTTGACTAGGACCGTTTGCACCCACCGTCTATGCTGCTACCATAGTAGTTGAATGCTGTGGCCTTCAACACTGTCCATTGCAGCCTGTGCCGTGGCAGCCTGCACTGCAGTGGCCTCTGCTGTGGCAGCCTTTGCTGCCACCACCCACTGCCACATACTGCAGTAGCCTCTGCCACTGTGGCCTGCCATAAGGGAAAATGGCTGCCCTTTGCAAAGATGGCGGCTGCAGATTCCTTGCCCTAAGGGAAACCACAACTAAATGGCTGCCCTTTGCAAAGATGGTGGCTGCAGATTCCTTGCCCTAAGGGAAAACACAACTGCCATCTTTGCAAAGGGTGGCCGTGTTTCCCTTATGGAAGGCTGCTCTTTGCTAAGCTGGCAGTGGAGGGTGGAGGGCAGAGGTCACAGTGGCACAGCTGGTCATGCTGGTGGCCGCAGTGACCAAGGTACAGAGGGGAAGGGGTGGGCCTTTGCAAAGATGGTGGCTGCAGATTCCTTGCCCTAAGGGAAAACACAACTGCCATCTTTGCAAAGGGTGGCCGTGTTTCCCTTATGGAAGGCTGCTCTTTGCTAAGCTGGCAGTGGAGGGTGGAGGGCAGAGGTCACAGTGGCACAGCTGGTCATGCTGGTGGCCGCAGTGACCAAGGTACAGAGGGGAAGGGGTGGGAGGCAGGCTATGGGGTTTGGGCAGATGTAGGGGGGGCTGTCTGCCTATGGGCCCACTGATCAGCAGGCCCATAAGCAGAGTGGGAAGGCCATAGACAGAGAGGAATGGCTAGCCTTCCCTCTCTTCCTATGGGGGAACAAATAAAAATGGGATAATATTAATCCCTTCGTATTCATCGGGGTCTCTGGAACTGACGAATATGAAGGGACAAATATTAAACAAATCAGTGATTTTTTAACAAATATTGTGATTCATTTTTTTTAATTCATCCCCATGTCTAGTGTTGATCCATGAAAGCTAGCAGATTGCATGATTTTTAAAATAGTCTATAAAGGTATTGCTTACTCCAGCATTTCTATTGTGCATGGGCCTTATGACTCTCGTTGATTTTAAATAATGAAGTTGTAATCTAACAACATCTGGAGGACTACATCTGTTCCCCAAACCTGAACTTGAAAGTCCACAATTCCTTTCAGTGCAATGCAGTTCATATGCTCATCAGACAGCACCTATGACTCAGCTTCAATGCTGCTCATTCTCTGCCAGCCTGTTTCATTGCATGCATCCAACTAACCCTGTTACTTCTGTCTCCTCACTTTCACTCAATCAACCTAGCTAATGATTAGCAATATTAGTCAGCCTGCTGACAGGTTCTCATAGCCTGAATGTGAATACACAGCAAGGGCTGTAAATCCAGATCCTCATTCCTACAAGTGTAAAAATTTTAGGACTCTTCCCAGATAAAGTTGCGCTGAAAGGCATGAAGTGTGCTACTCACACCTCAGCAACTGCTGCATATAATATGGAGAGAGTAGAGTGATTTCTTTCGACCACTTTTGCTCCTTAAACTTTTATGCTCCTTGCCTGCCTAACAGGAGCCCTGCGCAACACTTTTAGCAAAAAAAGAGAAAACATTTCAGTGGAAACAAACTCTCCAAAACTAATATAAATGCCACACTAGAGGGCTGAACACACTTTGAGAAGTTATGGTCTTATGTCATGCTCACAAAATGGGAACAACTGGGGACCGAAGGAAGCCAAAAAGCCTGGCTAAAAGTCTGTACATCTGCAGTGGGGACTATTTGTCCTGAATAATGTTTACTTCTTCCAAAGTGCTTGGCTTTTAATATTCTGTCCTTGTTCCTTCTAGAGTATCTGTCTTTTCTCTCTGCCAAATTGTCTGCCCATATCTCTGCCCACCCAGAAGTACTGTAGTTCCATAGTGTCTAATCAGGCTGACCAGTTCATCTCTGATCCAGGCCGGTTTTCAGATGCTCATTCATAAATCCATTCTGTACTAATTTTCATTTTTTAAAAAATCTGCTTTAAAAAACCGCACATATTTAAATATGTATTATGGAGCCTTTTCTCTCTCAGATGCATTTCTAAAAATTTATTGTACAATACACATTTTATGTGCCTTTTGTTATAGTTTTTAAGCCGAAAAATTCACTGCAAAATTCAAGAAGCCACAACCCAGAGAATTGTCCTATTCTCATCTATGTATTAGTCCAGGAAGTGTGGATCAGTTTTGCTCATTTCAAATTGTGGACCATACAAAATGCTCCATCACAATTTTTCTAAGCCAAAGGTTAATTTCTGTGGCTCTGTCCAGGTGTACAACGGGAGTTATAGTTCAGCAACATTGAGAGGAGGAGCTAAAGGCCCTCTACCATTGACCTAACCATCCATCATTATCTTGTGAAAAGGCTAAAGTTGCAACTAGAGTAGGTCCATTCAATAAATGGAAATTATGGAGGCGTTCTCTTCAGACTCCCCCAGTCCAATGGTCTTCCCTTGTAACTTACTACTGGATGTCAGTAACTGTGTGAAGAAAAATGTCCTTAATTTTTTGCCAAGTAGTTCCATTAGAGGATCTTGTTATCCTGCCATAAGCCAAGGAAACAAATATTTCCTAAACCAATCACTTGCTGTTCCTTATCATTCACCAAAATTAAGATTATGATTTAACTTTATTACTGTATTCTTTTATAAGGTTACAAAATGAAGGCATGGAAAAACCACCTTGTTAATATTAAGTAAGCCAATACATATCTGTTTATGCATGGATAGGAGATTTACTAAGAATGCTGTGTTCTGGTTTTTGATGGAAGAAAAGTGGGATATAACAATTTTAATAAAATGTATACACATTGAACACTCAATATGGATATCCACCTGCACTGTCAGTAGCTTGACTGCCAATAATGGCTTGAGACAAAGATGGAGGTTTTGTACCTCCATATGCCCTAGTCAACATGACCAATCATAAGAGATTGTGGGTGTTGTAGGGCCAAAACGTCTTCAACCTTGGCCTTAAATGCCCTCTTTCTTCTCCCATTCTAAATCTTGGAACTCCTTACCTTTGAATAGGTTGCTCCATTTATGACTTCTCCTCCTCGCATCCAAATAATGGATGCTGCCGGTTTGGCATTGTCAGCATGGCAGGTCAAATTCAGTGGGTCTCCAGCACGCAGGCTAACGACTGGTCCTCCAGTAATTATGGGATCATCTGGAGGCACTGTAGAGAAAGCAAAGGATCATGCTGTTTGTGAGTCTTGAAACAAAGCCATCGGATTACAGAAGGGATATGATACAAAGATCCAAGATAATAAGCTTGCTGAAATTCATGCATGGATCCAGTGTATGAGTCAGCCATGTTGTGGCTGCTATCAAAAATCCAGAAAGGCACTATTTCTGACTCCAACCATTTTGTCAAGAGCACAGAAGCAAGGTGCATTTGTTGTATGCTGGATTACAGATTTGGAATGACATACATTGCACAAGCAGAATTTGTAGTAGACCAGTACAGTGATGTTTACAGGAGGACAAAAAGCACGTTGGACTTTACTATGCATGTCAATCTGGATTTCTCAGTTAAATCAGGTATGAGATAATGCACTCTTTAGATGTTTTTGGCAACAGGTGTCTCATCTGGTGCTGTTCCCCTGGCTGATTTGGGAGTCTGGGAGTTGAAATCTGAAGGGCCAGCGATTCTCTACTTTATGTTTAAAGAATAATAACAATGACGACTTTTCTCCTAGCAAAACACATGTTTGAGATTGTCATTGCTATTCTAATGCACCTTCCTGATTTGGGAGGTGAGAACCAAAGACCAATGTTTATTCCACAGTAAATCATTTTATAATTTTAAAAGTCTGCTTTTTATATAGGATGTGAATTGGTATTATGATTGGTAGAACTGAATCATGGGGATAAAATTTGATGCAGACTGAGACTTCTGCTTTTTAAAAACGGTTTCCCTTTGCAATAAGTGTGACTTGTGAAGAATGTCATGATCAATGCCTGCACTCCAAAATGTACCCCTGCCAATGGTGGCAGTGAGGATTTTCCTCTAAGCTCTGTTCAGCTTGGCTGTACCTATGTTGGAAGGCAAATCAAGAATTTAGTGTGGTTTAATTTGATTTCTGATTTATGTTGCCTAGTAGCTTTAGTTGGGAAAGAAAGAGGTGTCAGGGACAGGGAGGTAGGTAATGGATTCACCGGCTCTGACTTGTCACTCTCTCTGGTTACTGGTTGAGACTTTTCTAGTTTTTTGCCTGAGATGGATGGTGGTTATATCTCTTCATGACATTTGACTAGCTAGGCCTAACAAATCTCTTGTTTTGGGTTAGGACTGTATGTATGTATGTATGTATGTATGTATGTATGTATGTATGTATGTATGTATGTATGTATGTATGTATGTATGTATGTATGTATGTATGTATGTATGTATGTATGTATGTATGTGTTTGAATTTAATTTAATTGCTTTATTTATACACTGGTTTTCACCTGATAAGGAGGCCTATATATGTCGGAGGTTCTTGAGCCTGCATTATATACCCCACTATTTTAATGTCTAGAACTGCTTCTGGTCCATGCCCACCAATTTTTATCACAATATTATTAAAACACACATACACACAACTAAGGCCCAAATCTAATTGGTAGTTGCTACCAGAGTAGACCCATTAAGCCTACTGCTGAATGATGAGCAAACAGTGATGGAAATCTGATTTAACAAATCTGCTCTAGCTAGGTCTTCCATTGGGATCGAAAGTCATAATATTATAACAGAACAAGGACCTGCATATAGGCCACAGCTCAAAGTAAAACATCAAGTATCAAATAAGGCCCAGTCCTTGTTAAAATAAAGTTTAACTTCTTTTTCCACTGACTGGTAGAAATAGGTGTTTATTTCTAGAACTCTTCAATCTTTGTGGGAGCTTAGTTGTAACCTACAATACTGGTCCTATCAGTCAAAAGAGTTTGTTTCGGCGGCAATGTTGAAGTCACCTGAACGATGGATAGTTGGGGCCTTCAACATTAATGCCAAGGCAGAGCTATTGAGTGTGGCCCACGAGTTCACGGACTCCATGTCATCCATGGGTCTATCCCAACATGTCATTGGCCACATGCACAGAGTGGGACACATTCTAGGCATGCTGTTTTTGTCTACTTGGATAGGATAGATGACCTGTGGGTGACAAACATGAGTTCCTTCCCACTGGCAAGGTCAGGCTCATCCACTGCTGAAACTTAACTTGGTTGCAGCGACCTCTTCCTGTGGGGAGATTAGACCAATGAAAATGATCTGCCCTCGGAAGCTTTTAATAGGTATTAGGAGGCTTTGGAAGAGTATCTACCTGATCTGTTTGGCCCATCTTTTTGAGGCTCAGACCAACAGGTGGTATATCAAGGTGGTATACCCAGGCAGTTCACATGATCGCTCCTGAAACCCTCTCCACCTCACAGCACATTCATGTGGGGGAGAACTGTGCCAGCTAAAGAGCTGGTGAAGGAAAGATTCATTGGAGAAAAATCTACCTCTGGTAAAGGGTTTAACCGGGAGATATGCCAGTGCCTTAGGATCAGCAAAAAAACATTTTAAAAAGTAAAAGAAAAAAAAAGCTTTTAATGTTAAGATCATTGGTGAGGCTGAGCCAACAAGCAGAATTTTTCCAATTGGTTTGAAGCCTTGGTCAACAATGGCTTCCTCCCAGTAATTTCTCTGGGGATCAGTTCACAGCCTTTTCAAAATCTAAAATTGAGTTAATCTGGCATGATCTGGACTCCACAGTCAGTCTAGCCAAGCTGGCTGGGATCCCTGGTGCATCCTGTCTGTCAGCCTGGTTGGTTGAGTTTCAGCCTGTTACATCAGAGGAGGTCTCCATGCTGTAGGTTCACTGCCTCAAGGCTCAATCCTTGCCCGCCATGGCTTTAGAAAGCCCCTGAGGAATTGACTATGGATTTGGCCGTAAATATCGTAAATGCCTCACTCAGGGAGAGTTATTTCCTTCCTTGTGTGAAGGAAGCCATCATACAGCCCATTCTAAAATGTCTGAATTTGGCAGCAAGAGAACTGGAATAACTACAGGCCCATTAGACATATTCTCTTTCTGAGCAACTGAGTGTGGTGGCAGAGCATGCTGGTGCATGTGCTCATGATCTCTAGAATTGGCTACTGCAACACTCTCTACATGGGGCTTCCCTTGACACTGGCCTGGAAAATTCAACAGGTAGAGAATGTGAGGCCAGACTGGTGTTGAATGCACATTTCCTGGTTCTGCTCAGCCTGCACTGGTTGTCTGTGTCATACCAGACAGATTCAAGGTGCTGGTTGTCTCTTATAAAGCCCTTCATGGTTTGGGACCTCAGTACTTGTTGGAGCATCTTTTCCTAGGAACATCTGCCCATGCCATCCAATCCACCCCGACTATGTTCCTTCGAGTTGACACACTGCAGGATGCCAGGAAGTCACCACTTGAAACAGAGCCTTCTCTGTTGTGGCCCCATCTCTTTGGAATGCGCTCTTGGCAGAGCTGTGCCTAGCCTCCTCCCTCACAGTTTTTAAGATGATGCTCAAAACAAGTTCGTTTACTGAAGCCTTTGAGAGCATCCTCTCTTAACGTTACACTGACTGCCCATCACCACGTTGCCTGCTCACCATCAATTGGTTTCTCTGATTTACTAGTTCTGGTTGTCTTGTTTGTTTACGTGGTGCTATTATTTAGTATATTATTTAAGATTTATTTTATGTTTTATCTGTTTTGTTTTTGATGTAAACCACCCAGAGTAGTGTTTATCACTAACCAGTGTGGTATAGAAGTTAAACAAACAAACAACAAGCAAACAAAACAAAACCTCCCATTCTAGCATATAATCCAGTCCAATCCATTCCTTTCTATTATTCTTGCCCTTTGTAAATCAGATCTTCCAATAACGTGTTAACCATCTCTCTCTCTCTCTCTTTCTCTGTATCTGTCTTCACACACAATTACATAGCCATACTAAATACATAATATGTATATGCCTATCTTATTTGCATTAGGGGATGGTAGGTTGCTGCTAACTATATGTGGAACCTTGGGATTTTCATATTTGTGATCACCTCCTGGAGCATAATGCCATACGCTGGATGCTGCTACAAGAGCAACCATTATTGCACCGATGAATATCTTCCCCAGCACTCCATAGCATTTCCTGTATCGGCGATCTCCTCCAGCCCCAAACAAAATGTATTAAAAGGAGAAAAATCAAGGACATCCAAGGGCATCCATACTTTCTATTAAGGCTATTGGTGGAAATCATTTGCATTTAAGAACCAAACATTGGCGGCTTTTTAGTAGGAGCACAGAATCAAAAGCTCTTATGGTTGTTTGCAAAGATCTCATCCAGAGTACCAGGTTATTATCACAGATATTACTGTTTGTACACTAGATGGATATGGCATCCACAGGTTGTTGGCATCCCTTTTTGGCATAGGTGGGTTTTTCTGTGTTCAACCTTTACTGCCTGAGATGGCTTTAGACATTAGATGTGAAAGCAATAACGCATTTCCCCCACTTTATTTATTTACACATTGCTGACAGGGCTTTCCCACTGTGGCATACACACATCTCGTTTTATGAAGGCGCGGGGGCAACAGCTGTCACTCAAGCAAGGAATCTGATCTAAAGTAAAGTACGGTGAAGACCAGAGAATTTCCGTCTCTATAGGACACAACTCAAGCCACCAGGTGGCAGCTCTCGTAGCCAAACATGGAAATTGTTACCATCCCAGGTTTTGTGACTGTTCCTATAGAAAGAGAGTTTCAAGCTGGAACAAAGTATTACATTAAATATGAGGCCGCTACTGCATCTGTACTGCTTTCACTGGTACTGCTGCTCACACTTAATTCAATGCTATGATAGGATGTCAACACTCTTGTCTTTTTCCAGCCTCTGCTTCACTTAGCTCCTAACAATGCTGTCAACACCCCTGTTCCCTACTGCACGACCGTGAGTCTCACAGACTTGAAATACATGTGGGACAACAATTATAAGGTCTGGATAAACTCAGGGAGTGGAGTAGCTTGAGGGGCAATAAAGGTTCCAACAAGACCTCCAAACCATAAATCCAACCCTTTATGATTAGGACAGCCCTCCTCTGGGAAAGTCTTACCAGCACCCTGTGGGACAGATAAAGAATTCTCTAAAAGCAGAGATGGGGACTCAATGTCAAGTTCGACTTAAGTCACACCG